AATGTTTCTAACACAAATAAATGAAAAATATCTGAGATGATAGATATGCTAATCACTCTGATAAGATCACTATACAGTGTAAGTATCAAAACATCGCTATGTAACCCATGAATATGTACAATTATGATGTCAATTTTAAAAAATAAAATGTAAAACAATTTTAATATGAAATTTTATACTAATAAGTAATTATCCCAAGGTATGAAGTATCAATGAATATTACATAATTATTTTTAATAACTAAAAAGTAGTCATTCTAAATGTTCCTCTATAAGGAACTGAAAAAATCATTATATTCACACAACAAAGCGCATTTCAAATGAGACAGGAAGATACCTATGATGTACTAAATGAAAAAGCAAGTATCAGAATGACTTGGACAATAAGTCTCATTTTGTCAAATTCTGCTAATAAAAATGTGTATGTGCATGCTTACATATGTACACATATTAAAATATGCATAGAAAACAACTATAATACATATCAAACTTGCAGAAGGTTTACAGAAACTCCCTTCTACTAAATAGCACATTAATTTTTAGGCACAGCTATTTACTCCCTAAAATTAAAAAAAATAATAGAGAACATTTTAAACTGTTTTAATCAAATATCTGAAAACTTGAAGCATTTTTTCATCTTTTTCCTAAGTAATTTTCCTTTCCTCTAATATTTGTTAGTTACTATATGCAAGCTGATGTTTATCCTAAAACATATTAACTATTATTCTCTCAAACTTTAAAGAACATTATATTTAACTTTGCAGGATTACACATAACAAAAATACTATGATACAAAATAATCCTTGTTCTATTCAAAGATTTAACTTTTTAATATTTCACCCCAAATATTATCTTTTAAAATAAAACAATGGAACATATTTTTAAACAAAATTTAAATGGTTTCTATAGTAACAGATAAAATTCAGTATCTTATTTTTTGTTTGCATATCCTATAGGCATAACTAATATATTGTCAATAACGTTTCAAAAATATTTTCCAAAGATCATCAAAACTATTAAGTGCATTAAGCTTTATCTTGACTTACAGCATAAATATTTCTCCAGCTATACTTGAAGAAAAATTTTATTAAAAAAGTAGGCCAACTATATACTTCATTGAACATTTTAATATTTAAACTTGATTTTCAAAATAGTTGTGCTCACTAGAATTCATACTTGCAAAAATAGTTTTACTTTCCTAAAATACTTTTTTAAAGAATGGAAAGAAATATGTTTCTACTTTACCTAGTTGTTGGTGTTCGTATTTGTCATAATTACTATGACAGAAATTGGTTCTGCCTTGCTCATCTACCGTCTTCTCAGATGAAAGCAAGCTCAGATGTTTCATCTTAACTAATCTTGGGGAACTTTCCTGAGTACTAGTATCCAAAACCACATCTCCCGAAAGAATGGGAGGAACAACTCTCTTTAAAAAATCCATTTCAAGGTTCTTCTACATTACTAGACTCACAAGCACACAGAAAAGTGCTTATACCAACTTCCTCGACGAGAAGTTCAGGTACACTATTTGTGTCAAAGAGCAAATAAACGTCATGTGAATTTAGGCGGTGCTAAACCCCAGTCAATTGCCAGCTGTTTTGAAGCTGATTTTTAGGACATTTACTGTTCATGCTGATAACAAACCAAACAGCTATAGACCATGAAACTGCACTTCATGTACACCTACATGTACAATGGGTGTTAACGACAATACTGAGACCATAAAATGTTGAGCATCCAACTAGTTTAACATTTACATTTTGAAAACTTTCACTGTGATCACGTAAAGAGAAATTTACTTTGGCCTGAGGTGTGTCTTTCTTTTAAATAAGTTTAGAGTTGACGTGTAAAACAGTAACTTGTACTCAAAAGATAATTCTTATCATTTTGAAAATTCACTAACACACCTCAGGAATGTCAACTTTTATAAAACATGAAAAGGAGTCATTTAAAACTTTATTCTATATTACGAACATTCTAAGGTGACTTTTAAATGGCAAAAAAAAACCTCCCTATTAAAATCAATGATACTTATCAATAGTAATGGTGAAAACTTTGGCATGAAGAACCAAAAAAAATTTGATAATTTTAAATATATGGATCTAAAAACATAAAGCTGAAGAACTGAAAGTATAAATTCTTAAATTCAAGAAACCCAGTCATAACATTATACGATTTTCAAAATAATTAAGCACCCTACAAAATATTTTCAAATAGCAAAAGTAGCCAATCCTACTGCCTTAATGTAATTGAGAAGTATAACAAGAGAATCCAATAAAGGAATACCTACAAAAGACTTTGAAAACTGAAAGTTCTCTCCCTTCCTTTGCCTGCGCTCTGGTGGGGTTGTTAAGTGAGCAAGAAGGAAATGAAAACACAAAGGTAACAGGGTAAAACCCCTAAGCAATCATATCTATAACTTCGAATGACACATAATAATTTAAAAAATCTGATTCACTTAGTGAAATACAATACAATCTCATTCTTCCAATGCTCAACATGAAGAAAATGATTTGCATAGTATTTCAAAAGATGAAGCACAAATGGTCTACATAGAAATCAGAAAAAAATCATTGAAAAAATTAACTCTAGATGGATTAAAGACTTAAATCTAAGACCTAAAACCATAAAAACCCTAGAAGAAAACCCAGACAATACCATTCAGGACATAGGCATGGGCAAAGACTTCATGACTAAAACATCAAAAGCAATAGCAACAAAAGCCAAAATTGACAAATGGGATCTAATTAAACTTAAGAGATTTTGCACAGCCAAAGAAACTATCATCAGAGTGAAAAGGCAACCTACAGAATGGGAGAAAAAATTTGCAATCTATCCATCTGACAAAAGGTTAATATCCATAATCTACAAAGAACTTAAACAAATGTACAAGAAAAAAACAACCGCATCAAAAAGTGGTCAAAGGATATGAGCAGACACTTCTCAAAAGAAGACATTTATGCAGCCAACAAACATATGAAAAAAAGCTCATCTTCACTGGTCATTAGATAATGCAAATCAAAACCACACTGAGATACCACCTCATGCCAGTTAGAATGGTGATCATTAAAAAGTCAGGAAACAACAGATGCTGGAGCGGATAGAGAGAAACAGAAACACTTTTATACTGTTCATGGGAGTGTAAATTAGTTCAAACATTGTGGAAGACAACATGACGATTCCTCAAGGATCTAGACCTAGAAATACCATTTGACCCAGCAATACCATTACTGGGTATCTACCCAAAGAATTATAAATCATTCTATTATAAAGAATCATGCACACATATGTGTATTGCGGCACTATTCACAATAGCCAAGTCATGGAACCAACCCAAATGCCCATCAATGATAAACTGGAGAAAGAAAATGTAGCACATATACACCATGGACTACTATGCAGCCATAAAAAAGAATGAGTTCACATCCTTTGCATGGACATGAATGAAGCTGGAAACCATCATTCTCAGCAAATTAACACAAGAACAGAAAACCAAACACCGCATGCTCTCACTCATAAGTGGGAGTTGAACAATGAGAACTCATGGACACGGGGAGGGGAACATCACACACCGGGACCTGTCGGGCAGTGGCGGGCTAGGGGAGGAATAGCATTAGGAGAAACACCTAATGTAGATGATGAGTTGATGGGTGCAGCAAGTCACCATGTTACGTGTATACCTATGTAACAAACCTGGACGTTCTGCACATGTACCCCGGAACTTAAAAGTATAATAAAAATTAGAAAAAAAAGAAAAATGGGTAAATTTCTGGTTCTGAATTACTTTGTTTTTAATCCTTATTCTCCTGCCACATTACTTATTAAGTCAACTATCCTTTTTTTATTTATGTAAAAAGCATTAATTGAAGATTCTTTCCATGTAAAGCATTAATATAGTATTAAGGTTCAGAGAAAGTTTAAGGATTTATTAATACAAATCTTGTCTCAAGAACTCCTATAGGAAAAAAACAACAAAGTCAAGTAAAAGATACAAATTTGTTGCCCTGAAGCAGGTATATATTCAACAGGAAAAAAAGCACTGATTTTTAGAAGCAGATTGTCTCTTAATCTTCAAGCATAAAAGTGTCAAAATTAAGATCCAATCAGTCTATTCCCCACAAACAGAAAAAACAACTGGTTAGAATGGTAAACTGCATGCCTTAATATACCTAAAACTCATTCCTTTCTCTCTCTGTCCCTCCCTCTCTCTCTGGATATGATCCCATGTTATTTCCATTTTATGTCTGTGGTTTTCCCCAGGTCTCTCTGCAGGTCGTCCTTATCTATGAAGCCCAGAAACACAGTGGTACATAGAATGCTAATTCATGTTTGTTCATGACATGCAAGACAACCATTTGTGTCACTGTTAACCTCACCATTCTCAACTGCACTTTCAACTGGAGAGAGGAAGGGGTTAAGGTAATAGGGACAGGATTAGGTGTTATAGAAGAGCCCATAGATTTTTCTCTGATTTCCTTCATTCAACAAATATTTGTTGAATAGCTTCTCTAATGATCTGTGCAAGATACACAGGCACTGAAGATACGTCTCTCTACCCAAAAAGCTGGCTACTTAAAAAGGGAAATAAACTCTCATAGTTACAATATTCTGCCTAGGGTTGGCCAAACCTTTGTTAAGCCTGCACTACAGTTCAATTTTCTATGTTTCATCAGTTTCCTAAGCTCCCTCGTTAAAGGTGTTGATTGCTAATAAACATCGAAAGGATCCACTCTGAGACATACAACAAAGGGGAAGCACTCCAGTAATGAAACTGTATTTATTATTAACAGGATCTATGAGGAGGAAATGCCACAAAGCCTTGTTTACATGTTGATACTTCTAAGCACTTTAGCTAACGATTACCACAACTTTTAACTCCTGGTATAATAGTTATAGGATCAAGAAATTATAGTAGAACCTCACAGCTAAAATACAGCATTTAAAAATCTTTTCAGACCTCAATCACTATTTAAACCTTGAGAATATTTACTATAATCTTACCGTATCACTTGAGACAGTAATTTCCTGGTGGTAACTTGGATCGTCTAATCCTATGACTCTTGAGTGGTTTCAGGAATTAAGCATTTAGATGTTACCCATCCAAGATACCAATAAATGGCTTCAGCTCTGAAGAAAAACAAAATACATTTACACATTAGGTGTGTTTATAGTAAGTACACCTGTATGTTACTCATATCCATCCCTACTTCTGAACACATTTTATACACCAGTGTCACCTAGTGCTGCAGATATCCTCCTTCAATAATGTTGCATGACATTTTTTCTAAGTTTTTTATTATGGAAAATTTCAAATTAGTGCAAAATTATTAAGAGTAGTATAATGAATCCCCCACCATTCCCAGCTTCAACAATTAACTCATGGCAAATCATGTTTCATTCATATCTTCATCCACTTCCCCCAACCTCTATCCCACCACTCTGGATTATTCTAAAGCAAATTCGAGACATTATAACATTTCATCTGTAGATAAATCATTATGCATCTCTCTAAGACAAGGATTTACTTTGTAAAAATAAGTTAATACCATTATAATATTTATATTAATAATACAATATCAACTACTAATGAGCACTCAAATTTCCCCAATTGTCTCAAGTGTCTTTTTAACAGTTTCCTCTAATCTAAATTTAAACAAAATCCATACAAGCAATTGTGACAATATCTCTTAAATACATTTTAATCTCTAGTTTTTCTCCTCCCTTTCTTCTGTATAGTGACAATGCTTTTTACTAGTCAATGGTTAAACTAACACACAACTTAATTATTCAATAATACATTATTTTATTCACTAAAATATAGATTTGTAAAATAGTTCATGTATCTGCTAGGCCTGATATTTATCACATCTACAGATAACATTTGGGATGCATATTTTTCAAAGTCTACCTGCAATAACTCTGAGAGGGTCATGGACCATGAACAACAGTACCATATCTGTAATACTTGGATGGTTACTAAGAATAAAGAAAATGACCACAGGGAATTGTCTTTTTACCATTTATAAAGATTCCACGTTATCAGGCACATTTCATGTTTCCTTGGCTTTTTTTTTTTTTTTTTTTTTGAGACGAAGTTTCACTCTTGTTGCCCAGGCTAGAGTGCAGTGGCACGATCTCAGCTCACGCTCACTGCAGCCTCCACCTCCCGGGTTCCAGCGATTCTCCTGCCTCAGTCTCCTGAGTAGCTAGGATTACGGGCATCCGCCACCACACCCGGCTAATTTTTTGTAGTTTTAGTAGAGATGGGGTTTCACCATGTTGGCTAGGCTGGTATCCAACTCTTGACCTCAGGTGATCCACCCGCCTCAGCCTCCCTAAAGGCTGGGATTACAGGCGTGAACCACCACGCCTGGCGGTCTTAGCATTTTTCTATAGCTAAAATAAGACAAATTTTACATCTGGCATTGAAACTCAAATTAGCCTTATTTTAAATAATAACCAGTTGCATATTAGTTTTTCTCTTTAATTAATTTAATCCCCAACCGAACAGAAAGGGTTAAATATCCTGAAGTATTAATTTGTACCAAAAACTCTTAATTTGAAATTCCTTTAGGCAAGTTAGAAAAACGTAATGTTTCATTTACTCACAGGTGTAATCAATTAAATCATCACTAAAGCCAAAGTTTCAAAGCCAAAAATCTGGGAAATATGAATAAAATACTAACTTGTTTGTGCTTGTTCACAGTATCATTCAAACTTACTGGAATTTTTGACTGCTCCAGCAAATATTTCTAAAATTTATTATCAATACAATCCTGCCATAATTCTTGATACTTTACTTATCTTAGGTTCATGGAATCACTTCTCCCTCAAACCTAAAAAAAACTAATGTGACAAACAGCATGTCATGTCTTGTGGGCATGGTCCCACTGGACAATATTTAATGAGATTTAAGCTATCTTTCATTTCATCTTCTGGGACAAATTACAAAACCAGTCACTACTGAAGTACAATGCAGTTTTAGGAATACAGCAAAAATCCTACCTAGGACCGATTTGTACCACCATGTCTAGGTATTTCATTTTGCTTTGCTTTTGCTTGCAGTCTTCAGCTCAGACATAGCAAGTGCTAATGTCATGCTTTTGTTGTATGTGTATTTTCTTGTAATCACACTGTCATGGCACTATGTCACTTTAAGATTTCTCAATATTTGTCCAGAGTTGTAACACTTCTTCAGTAGACACACAACCTTCCTATTTTCAACTTTTCACTTTTGATAAGATAAAATAAATGCATCTTTTGGTAACCCTGGAAAATATGTGGTTTATACTTCTCTGGGTTTCTTCATAGGTTATAATCACTTTTAGCAGGGCTGGCTTGGTGGGGGTGGGTCTTTCTGGGACTTTTTTGGTCTGTTTACTTGCATGACAATCACTTTTTCATCTTTTCTCCATATGTATCACTTAATATGGGATTAATTTTTATTTTCATTCCAGTTGATCAGAGAACATTTTATCTGTAAAGAAGAGTAATTTTTACTACTACTTTTACAATACTATTTTGAGACACTGAAGGTCAGAGAGGTTTGGTAATTCTACATGGTCATGCTACACAAATAATCATTGCTGTTCTTTCTTATTTAAAACAAAAAAGTTCAAATAAAAACAGACCTCAGTTGGTATTTGACAACACTGAAGAGAAGACTGTAAACAGCCCAACAGCACAAGCCTTGAAGGGCAAGACTTTTCACCCACAGAGAGAGTAATAATGTAGAAGCTTCCATGTGTAATAGTGAACAGTGGTCCAGCTCTGGTACTTGGGAGGGCCTCAGGGCAAATGAGGTCCCTCGGGGCAAGAAGCCTCATTTCACTTCAGTACAGAAAGCAAAAGAAAGCTGAATGGGTGTTCAAATAACACATGAACCTCATTCCTTTCTGAACAGAATTTCTAGAATAATAACAGAAATGCTACAAATTTATCTTAATTTTAGGAAGACATCTGATGTTTTCCTGTGTGTCGTCTCTGATATACATTAATACAGGAAACAATAATCCCAAGCAAATAGAGCAAAAATTAAGGATAAATGAATTTCAGAGATGTTCAATATAGTATTCGCAATACTTGTCTGTATGACAGGAATACTCCACAATTTGAACAGAGAAGTTATGGTGCCTGGCGTATGGTAGATTTGAGCTTGACATAAGGAACAACAACTTAAATAGTACGTAAGTAATAAAAAGACTGCTTCATAAAAGATTGGGGTCCCTGCTCAGTGAATCTTTAGGCAACAGTTGTTAGGAATGCTAACATTCTTACAGAATGCTATAAAAGTGATTACGCCACCAGGTAAAAAGATTATGGTAAATTACCTCAAAGATCCAAGCTCAAAACTCTAAATGTAACTTCAAAATGTATTTTATATTATACTTGAATACTAGAGGGTGTGGTGACTTAGAAATTCATATTTCAACTAAAGCGAGAAACCGCATTATAAGACACGGAATCTATGAGGGTCAATTCCTGCCATTCTATTAAAATTAATTCTGGGAATCTTGCAAGGCCTCTTAAAATGATGCAAAAACCAAAATGACACAAGTGTTCTGACAGCCTTTTAGAGTGAGGATGCAACAGTTTTCAAATAAATTTTAAATGATCATAGTTTCTGTAACACAAACATAATTATAGAAAACAAAATGCAGTAACTTCTTTAATCTGCCAAAGATTGTGTAAAAACAAGAAAAATTTGCTTACAAGTAATCAAATGCAGGCAGCAATTAGTCAAATATTGTTTATATCTCATTAGTAAAAATCATTTTAAAAAAGAATTTATGGTCATCCCTTTAATTACCAAAGAAATTTCATGATTTGTAAAATTAACAGTGGTTTTATCACTCTTCATTTGCTAAGTAATTCACTTTTTCTCTTGAGAAATGCTGTAATTTTTTAAATTTTTAAAAAATGAACTTGCATTTAACCTTCTCTTAGTCAATTTTTTTTTTGAGATGGAGTCTCACTCTGTCACCAGGTTGGAGTACAGTGGCACGATCTTGGCTCGCTGCAACCTCCGCCTCCCATATTCAAGCGATTCTCCTACCTCAGCTTCCCAAGTAGCTAGGATTACAGGTGTGTGCCACCATGCCTGGCTAATTTTTTGTATTTTTAGTAGAGATGGGGTTTCACCATGTTGGCCAGGCTGGTCTCAAACTTTTGACCTAAAGTGATCCACCCACCTCAGCCTTCCAAAGTGCTGGGATTACAGCGTGAGCTACCACAGCCAGCCTCTTTTTAACTTTCTCCCAAATTTCAATTTTAAAAAGTATGGAAACATACTACACTGACTAATATAATTACAGATTATATTACATGACCTGCTAAAAATGCTGTGTAATGATACTCAGCCAGAATATTTGGGCTTCACTGCAAAAATCTAAATTTCTTGCTGATAAACCAATGTTCTCTGCAGGTGAATTTGTCAACATTTTATTGACTTTACATTTTTAGCCAGAACAGCAGTTATTGTCATACTACTTGATCTAATGAAAACAAGCAGCAAATTTTCCATTCACAATTTTAAGAGGAAGTTTTCTATAAAAGTTTCATTCATTAAATCAAATGAAAACAGCATCACAGTGGTACATTTTCTTATACACTGATGAATGAATATGTATTTTTAGAATAATTTTCATACTACATTTTCATGTTGGCACAGAAAAATGGAATATAAAATATAAATCTTTCCATTCTACATTTAGAGTTAAGAATCAAGAGAAAATTTTTGGACTACCACACATCAGTTTACAGAAATCATACCCTCGACAAATATTTATTAAACAGAACTATCTGCCAGTATGACAGAAAAAAAGTGAATAAAACAAAAATCCCTATCCTTGTGGAGCTTATATTCCAGTGGGAGCTTAAGCCTTTTGGAGTTACTGCTTTAGAAATCTGAAAGAGGTGGAGATGTCATCTTCCAAAAAGCACATTTCTATAACTTTGAAGAGTTGAGCCTTCCTAATCCAACCATTAATTATGGATTAAGAGCCTCTGATAAAAATCCTCCTTATACTTATTTTCTATGCCTACCATTTATAGTAGGTTTTTTAATTTTTTTTTTTTTTTTTTGAGAAGGAGTCTTGCTCTGTCGCCCAGGCTGGAGTGCAGTAGCG